AATAAACCCCATAATTTGTGAGTTCTGTGCAGCCACTGCAGTGAACTCTCGAACCCAGCAGAGAGATGGTGGGTTGGTGGGAAGAACAGTTGGTGTCGGGGTTGGTGAAAGGGCAGGAGAGAGGCAGAGTGTCTGGCCTTGCAGGAACAGGCCTTGGGCTACTGATGGTGATTCTGTCTCCCTCTTGTGGGGGTAGAGGAGGTCAGAAGATGCCGCCTCCTTGTCCCTTTGGTAGCCCTAAATGAGATGGACTGATAGAGGCTGCAACGATGGGCTCACGTATTGCAAGGATTGTCAGGCTGTCGCAGGACCCAGCAGTGTTTGGTTCTGTTGTACACAGGGTTGCTATGAGTCAGAGCCAACTCAATGGCACCTAACAACAACAACGCAATGACTGCCAAATTAATGAGGTCCGACACCCAGCCCCTGAGAATGTAAGACCAGAGCCGTGGCACATTGGTATACAGCTGCACTAAGCACCTCTAATGCTGCTTCCTTAGGCATTTTACATTTAGCCGATAATTGACAGACCACCTCATTGGGCATCCTGGGTGGGATAGGAACCAAATACACTGATTGGACTAATTGCTCCATGAGCCTCTTGGCAGCAGTTTCCCAGGAAACGAATCCACGACATCTTGCTGGTACAGGGGACAAGCAGTGACAGCAGCGAGGTAGGCAGCTACATAGAAGCCACCAGGCCCAGCCTCACCTTTCCTGTTGTGGTGTCACTGTGTCCCAGTGGAGGTGCTCCTTTAAGGGCTATGGCTAGCTCTTCCTGGTGCGACACCCCAGCTTCTACTGCTCACCCAGTGGGCCCAGTGGCCAGTCTCCTTCCAGGCTCTAAACTGGGACAATGTCCTGGACTCTTAAGACCTGGTTCCCTGTTGCTCTGCCCATTGAGAGCAGACGTTCTGCTCCTGTGTCTCAGCAGCTCACCTGGGCTCAAAGCCAGGACTCTGCAAACGTATAGCTCACTAAAGGGACCAGACTTCCAGGAGGAGCTAGGAGAGGCTAGGGCTATGGGGAAACACACCCACCCCACACTAGAGCCTGCTGAACAGTGGCTACAGGACAGGCACACAAGTGTTATTACCAAAGCACTGGCATTTTAGGGTGGACACTTGGGGAGACGCATGGCAGAGACCCTTCGCAGCAGCAGAGCAAGTTTCAACAGACCTCCAGCAAGGAGCAGTTCCTTCCCAAATGCACCACAGTCTGGAGCGGAAGTTAGTCAGGTGGCCACAGCTAGAAGGAATTTTAGGAGTGCAGCTAACATATCCCATCCTCAAAGTAAGCTGTGTTAGTCTCCAACAAAAAATGAATATGTAAATGAGACCACTACAACCAAACATTAAGAAATATTGAGGATCTGTCTCAACGTTTACAGTCTGAAATAGATCAACAATGTAATAACGATGGACTGATCATTAATGGTGATTGGAATGTGAAATTTGGAAACAAAGAAGGATCACTAGTTGGAAATTATGGCCTTGGTGACAGAAACAATGTTGGAGATCACATGATGGAATTTTGGAAGACCAGTGACTTACTCATTGCAAATGCCCTTTTTTAACAACATAAATGGCAACTACACACATGGACCTCTCCAGATGGAACACACAGGAACCCATTCGACTATATCTGTGGAAAGTGACAACAAAGAAACTGAGTATCATCAGTCAGGGCAAGATCAGGGGCCAATTGTGGAACAGACCATCAACCCTCCAAACACGTTTGAGTTGAAGCTGAAGAAAATTAAACAAGTCCACAACAGCCAACATATGACCTTCAGCATATCTCACCTAAATTTATAAACCATCTCAAAAAGAGATTTGATAAGATGAAAACTAATGACTGAAAACCACATGAGCTGGGAGGACATCATACATGAAGAAACAAAAGGTCAGAAAGATACAGGAAAGAAACACAAAATGGATATAACAGGAGACTCTGAAACTTGCTCTTGAGAGCAGATGAACTAAGTGAATGGAAGAAATAACGAAAAGAAATGAACAGCAAATTTCAAAGGGTGGATAGAGAAGACAAAGTATTATAATGAAATGTGTAAAGACCTAGAGTTAGAAAACCAAAACAGAAGACCATGCTCAGCATTTTTCAAGCTGAAAGAACTGAAGAAAAAAATTCAAGCTTAAAGTTGCAATACTGACAAAACTCAAAATCATTTGGAGGCAAAAAAAAAAAGAAGGTGGGGACCAGGTTTGCTGGTCCAATGGAGCCTGGTGTAACCACTGAGACTATGGCCTCTAGCTGCCCTTCAGGTCTGGAATCGAACCCACAACTGTGGTTTCCAGCCAAACAAAGTACAGGCATGTGAGTTAAACATTTACCTCAAGTAGACACACGCCCTGGAGAGAACAATCATGGGAGAAGGAAGGGCTGCTTATGCACAGGGAGATAGCTCAGGGTGCAGAAGAGTATGAAGGGATGGACACTGGGAGGAGGTAACTATGGGGAGGAAGTGGGAGGGGAGCTGCTGCATTGTAAATTTTGGTCAATGACATGAGACAAAGTATATGTGAACTGCTGTATGAAAAGTGAATTTACTCTGTAAATCTTCACCTAAATCCTAATTAAAAAAAAAAAAAAAAAAAGTTGCAATACTGAAGGATTCTATGGGCAAAACACTGAACAACATAAGAACCATTAAGAGAAGATAGAAGGTAAGTACAGAATCACTGTACCAAAAAGAACTGGTCAGTGTTCAACCATTTCAGAAGGCAGCATATGATCAAGAACTGATGATATTGAAGGAAGAAGTTCACACTCACAAAAGGCATTTGTGCAAAACAAGGCTCCAGGAACTGATGGCCTACCCACTGAGATGTTCCAACAAACAGAGGCAAAGCTGGAAGCCCTCACTCATCTATGCCAGGCCCTGAGGAAAACTGCTTTCTAGCCAACAGACCGGACGAGATCTACACTTGTTCTAATTCCAAAGAAAAGTAATCCAACAGAACACAGAAATTAGCAAACAATATCATTAGTATCACACGCACATAAAGGTTTGCAGCAGATAATTCAAAACCAGTTGTAGCAGTACATTGACTGAGAACTGCCAGAAATTCAAACCAGATTCAAAGGAGGATTTATGATGAGGGATATTGTTGATGTCAGATGGATCTTGGCTGAAAGCAGAGAATAAAAGAAAAATGTTCACCTGTGTTTTATTGACTATGCAAGGTCATTCGACTATGTGGTTTACAACGTTATGGGTAACGTTGTGAAAAATGGGAATTCTAGAACACTTAATTGTGCTCACGTGGAATCTGTACATTGACCAAGAAATAATTGTTAGAACAGAACAAGGGGTTAGTCACAGCATGGTTTAAAATCAGGAAAGGTATTTGTCAGGGCCGTGCACTTTCACCATGTTTATTCAATCTGTCTGCTGAGCAAATAACCTGAGAAGGTGGACTATATGAAGAAGAACATGACATTAGCAGAGAAAGACTCATTAACAACCTACAATATGCAGAAGACAGAATGTTTGCTTCAAGAAAACAGCAGATCTGATGCATTTTCTGATGAAAATCAAAGATCCCAGCCTTTGGAATGCATTACATCTCAACATAAAACAAAAATCCTCACAACTGGACCAATAAGCAACATCATGATAAATGGAAAAAAGTGTGATGTTGTCAAGGACTCCATTTCACTTGGAATTAACATCCATGGAAGCAAAAGTCAAGACATCAAATGACGGTGCTGCATTGGGCAAAAGTGCTGCAAAAGACCTCTTAAAGTGTTAAAAAGCAAGTATGTCAGTTTGAGGGCTAAGGTACCCCTGACCAAAGCCATGACTATCTTCAATCACCTCATATGCATGCAAAAGCTAGACAATGAATAAGGAAGACCAAAGAATTGATGCCTTCGTGTTACAGCACTGGTGAAGAACATGGATTATACCATATACATATAGGTATGTAAAGTCAGAAAAGAAAGGAAGACCCTCAATGAGGTCAAGTGACACAGCAGTGGCAACAGTGGGCTCAAACACAGCAATGTCATGAGGACGGCGCAGGAGTGGTGCTAAAGGGGCACGGAGGCAACATCTGACCTCCCTCACTGCAAATCCCACCATGGAGTTGCCAGTCTCATTACAGGGAATAACTACTACCAGCTCTCGAGCCAAGCTGACACATATTTACATGGTCCCACCCAGTAATCTGGTGGGAGTTACAAAGACTATGGCTAGAAAACCCATACCATGTAATTCACTACACTGCAACTGGGGAGTGCTTTATTCTGCTTTAGAGTCACTGGGTCAGCGCTGACGCCACAGCATCTAAGAACAACAACAATGCCCAACTCCCATTCACCAAGTGCCTACCAGGTAAGCACCAGGCACCAGCCAGGCCTGGGGGACATGTCATCATCTCATTCACTTCACACAGGCAGCCAAGGCAAATGGGAGTGATTATCATCTCAGTCTCAGAGATGAAGAAACGGGGTTCAGGGAGGACCAAGTCACCAACTCTGCCAAAATCAAGCAGCAGCTGGTGGGTGCAGTCTGAGTCCTCAAATTCAGAGCCCTGGTTCTTCATACCCCACCTAATCTGAGTGTCAGTCTCCCCATGGAGGAAATGAATGAGGTCTGGGTGAACTGGAACCAGCTTCCTGGGCTCCTGGGCAGGGTCATCAGGGGAGGGGGCCTGACACCCTCACCCTGCCACCACTAGGCTGGGGATGCAGAGGGGGAAGGGAAGGAGAACTAAGAGTCCCGAGGGCAGGGACGGAGCAGAAACCTAACGCAGGGCCACAGGGGAGGAGGGGGGTTACTCACGGGCATGTTCCTGAGAAGGTCGCTCTTTCCACTGGGGTGCAGCACACTGCTGTCCTTAGGGTCGGCGCCAAGGAATCTGGGGACACCTCTCTCCGCCTGGGGGTGGCTTGCGAACACTTACTCTGCTGAGACACAAATGCACCAGGTACTTCAGGGACAGCCACTGCCCTGCCGGGCTGGGAGGGAACGGGACATGTCCTCCACCAGTCAGCCGGGCACCTGCACCTGAACCAGCAGGGGCGGCCCCCACAGTTAAGGAGCAAGGGACAGTGCAACTTCCTGGTCCGCGATCCCGGCCAGGCCTCTCGGGCCACCAGGCTCCGCTGCCCGGCCCGCGGCGCCCCACTCCGCGGTCACCCCCCCCCCAGGTTAGGGGTTGCCGTCAGGCTCCGCCAAGGGCCGTGCCGCAGCCTCCCTGCACCCAGGGACCCCGCCAGGCCGCCTGCCTCCCCCACCGCCCCCGACGGCCGAGGGGCCCCAGGCAGCGCCGGATGCCCCCAGGGCCCGGAATCCGCACTTACTGATCCCCGACGGCATCCTCCTCCGCTCCTTACCGCCGCTCAGCAACCCCGCCACGCGACTCCAGACTCCGGTAGCCCAGGACCAGAACCGGCCGGAAGCTGGCGCCGGGCTTGCTGGCCGGGCTGGGGCGGTCCCGGGACTCGGGGCCTGCGGGGCCCCGTCCCTGCGCGCTCCCGCTGCGGGCAGCTCTCGCCAAGCTCTCACCAAACCGCATCTAAGGTCAGGGATCAGCGGTTGCAGCCCCGGCGCGCCTGCGCGGTCGGCCTTCTCTCTCCACGGGCCCCGCCCCTTAGGCCCCCGGAAGTGACGTCCTGAGCGCGCTCCCGTGGACAGCCGGGGCGGAAGTCGCTTGGCCGCTGGAGCTTTTCGGAGCTGAGGTGAAGGACTTAAGTGTCCGTGCCGGAAGACAGCGTGGATTGTGCGCCGCTCTTCACTTTGTGTGTGTGAGGGGAGCTCAAGGTTTTGGGGCACTGAGAGCGCGGGAGAGCTCTGGTGTGCGGCCGGGCTGGGTTCTTTTTGGGGGGCCATGTTGTAGTGGCTGGGGTTCCCGAGCGAAGTGCTGGCCTTCCGGTGGCTTCTGCTCCCAGGTGTCTGCAGTGCTGGCTCCGGCAGTAGAAAGGTAACAGCACAGCCAGTTTTCTTTCTTGTTTTTTGAAAGCATGACCTCACCTCACCACGGACACTGCCCGTTCTCGATGGAGGTACCGAGATGTCCTTTGGGGAGCCCATGCGCTCCCTGCAAACGTCCTTTTAGAAAGGTAGGGCGAAGAGCAAAGACGAGGTGGCCCCGGCTCGGAGTAACAAATGCTTGTTAGTGTTTATTGATACTTTTGCTGGATGGATAGACGCATTCCACCTGGACAGAAAGCAGTGGCGGTAACTGGAGTCCTATTAAAAGAAATGATTGCCAGCTTTGGCCTGCCTACGTTCGTGCAAAGTGATAATGGCCCTGATTTTGTAGGAAACTTACACTTTTACTTCAAGCCTTAGGCATAAAATGCCACCTGCATGCTAGATGGAGGCCCTAGTAATCAGGAAAAGTGGAGAGCCAATTCGACTCAGAGGAACAATAGCAAAACTTGGTCCAGAGACTTCCAGCACTTGGATTAAAGTACTACTGGTGTAGTGCCTAAGGCATTTGACTGCTAACCTGAAGGCTCAGGCTTCAAACCCACCAGCCACTCCTGGGAAGGAAGACTGGGCAATCTACTTCCCTAGTCATACTGCCTCAAGTCAGATGCAACTCAATGGTAGTGAGTTTAGTTTTTGTTGCCTTATTAAGGAATGGAATTCCTTAGAAATGGACAACTAAATGTTGAGCCCTATGGCAGACCTTTCCTAACAATAGATCTCTTAAGACACTGAAGCCCACTAGTTTACCAAATACATCATTACCCTAGGAAAAGTATAAGAAGCCTTAGTAGAGTACAGAAATCATGTACTCCCAGAACCACAATCAAAGCATGCCTTATACTGTGTCCAGACAGAGAACCTAATCTCCCTAAGGACTTGGAGGAATGGCTCCCCTGCAAGCCAATAAGTCCACGATGTAAGGGACCATATCAAGTTCTTATCCACTCCTACAGCTGTAAAACTACAAGGAATAAAAACATGGTTCCATATGTTTACAAAAAAACCTTTCTTTTGTAATTCCAGTCAATAAAATCAACTGCTTACCAATGGAACAATAAACCTGTGAACCCATTGTTTTTGTTAGGTGCCTTGGAGTCAGCTCCAACTCATAGCAACCCTGTGTACCAAGAAGGTAACACTGCCCGGTCCTGTGGCAACCTCACAATCCTTGCTGTGCTTGAGCCCATTGTTGGAGCCACTGTGTCAATCCCCCTTGTTAAGGGCAGCCTCTTTTTCACTGACTCTCCACTTTACCAAGCATGAGATCCTTCCCAATCAATGGTCCCTTCTGACAACATGACCAAAATAGGTGAGACAAAGTGTGACCATTCTCGCTTCCAAGGAGCATTCTGGCTGCACTTCTTCCAGGACAGATTTGTTTGTTCTTCTGGATGGTACTTTCAGTATTCTTTGCCAACACCACAACTCAAAAGCATCAACTCTTCTTCAGACTTCTTTATTTTGTTGTCCAGCTTTCACATGCATATGAAGCAACTGAAAATACTTGGGTTATGCATATCTTACTCTTCAAAGAGACACCTCTGACATGCTCTTCAACACTTTAAAGAGGTCATTTGTAACAGGTTTTCCAAGTGCAATACTATGTCTGATTTTTTGATTGTGGCTTCAGTGGATGTTGATTGTAGATCCAAGTAGTATGAAATCTTTGACAACTTCAGAATTCTCCATTTATTATGAAGCTGCTTATTGGTCCACTTGTGGGGATTTTTGTTTTCTTTCTGTTGAGGTATAATACATACTGCAAACTGTAGTCTTTATAAAATCTTCATCAGTAAGTGCTACAACTCATTTTCACTTTCAGCAAGCAAAGTTCCGTTGTCTGCGTATCTCAGGTTGTTAATTATTAATTCACCAATCCTGATGTACTTTTCTTCTTTATATAGTCCAGTTTCTCAGATTATTTGCTCAGCATACAGATTAAATAAATAGGATGAAAGAATACAACCCTGATAACACACCATTCCTGATTTTAAACCATGCAATATCCTCTTGTTCTGTTTGAATGGCAGCTTCCTGGTCTATGTATAGGGTCCTCAAGAGCACAATTAAGTGTTCTGGAATTTCCATTCTTCTCAATGTTATCCATAATTTGTTACGATCCACACAGTTGAATGCTTTTGCATAGTCAGTAAAACACAAGTAAACTTTCTGGTATTCTTTGCTTCATCTAAGATCCATATGACATCAGCAATGATATCTCTCAATCTGTGTCCTGTTCTGAATCCAGCTTGCATTTCTGGAAATTACCTGTCAATACTGCTGCAGCCATTTTTGAATTATCTTAAAATTTTACTTGCATGTGATATTAATGATACTGTTCTATAATTTCCACATTCTATTGGATCACTTTCTTGGAATGGGCATAAATATACATCTTTTCCAGTCACTTGGCCAGGTAGTTCTCTTACAGATTTCTTGGCGTTGGCAAGTAAGTGCTTCCAGCATGGCATCCCTTTGCTGAAACATCTCAATGGGTGTTCTGTCGATTCCTGGAGCCCTGTTTTTCACCAATTCCTTCGGTGCAATTTTGACTTCTTCCTTCAGTGCCATTGGTTCTTGATCATATGCCACCTCCTGAAATGGATGAACATTAACCAATTCTTTTTTGTACTGACGCTGTATTCCATCCATCTTCTTTTTATGCTTCCTGCATCATTCAATATTACGCCCATAGAATTGTGCAATATTTCATCTTAAAGCTTTCTTTCTTTCCTCAGGTCTTTCAGCTTCAGAAATACTGTGTTCTTCCCTTTTGATTTTCTAACTCCAAGTCTTTGCACATTTCATTATAATAATTGAAACCTTGGTCTTTGAAATCCTGTTCAGGATATTCTTCTTGTCATTTCTTCCATTTATTTTAGCTACTCTCCTTTCAAGGGCAAGTTTCGGAGTCTTGTGACATCCATTTTGTTCTTGTGTTCCTTTTCTGCCTTTTTAATGACCCTTTGCTTTCTTCATGGATGGTATTCTTGATGTCATCCCACAATTCCTCTGGTTTTTGGTCATTGGTGTTCAATGCATCAAATCTATTCTATAGATGGTCTCTAAATTCAGAAGGGGTATAATCAAGGTCATAATTTGGCTCTCATGGACTTGTTTTAATTTTATTCAGCTTCAAGTTGAACTTGCATACAAGCAATTGGTGGTCTGTTCCACAGTCAGCTCCTGGCCTTGTTTTGGCTGAAGATACCGAGCTTCTCCGTCACTTCTTTCCACAGATGTAATCAGTGTAGTTCCTGTGTATTCCATCTGGTGAGGGCCACATGTGTAGCTGCTGTTCATGTTGAAAAAAGGTATTTGCAATGAATAAGTCATTGATGTTGAAAAACTATCATGTGATCTCTGGCATCATTTCTGTCACCAAAGTCATATTTTCCAGCTACCAGTGATTCTTCCTTGTTTACAACTTTATCATTCCAATCATGAGTAGTAATCAATATATCTTTAATACATATATGGTCATTTTACAGATTGCAGAAGCTGGTAAAAATCTTCATCTCTGGCTTTAGTGCTTGGTGTGTAAATTTAAATAATAGTTGTATTAACGGGTCTTCTTTGTATAAGGAAAGCATACCTAAGTTTAATCAATTTCTCCTCACATCAGCTATTGCTATCCAAGATCCAAGTCCCTGTCGTGGCTTACCTTGGTTATTGTGCTAATTCCCACCATTGCCTCTGCCCAGATACTATGTGGTGTCAGACCCTGTCATGTGTATTGTGTCCAACTCCTCAGTTTCACTTCACTTTTCTTTCTCTTGCAGTCCTTTCTTATTCCTAAGCCCTCTAAATTTCCTTTGCCCTAGATTATTAAAGGGACTCTCTGGTCTGCACCCAGAGCCTAGCCAACTTGATGAAGGTCTGTGTCTATACAAGAAAGGTGTTAGTTTTCTCTACTCCAGGTGTGGAGAGTGGAGTGAGCCAAAGCCATGGCTGTCCATCTGCCTGCACCACTTTCAAGCCAGGCGAATCTAGCTGTGTTATAGGCAGACTAGGAGAATGCCTTGGGCAGTACCAAAGTCATGAAGACAGTGGTAAGAAGGAACAGTATATTGGAGATTCGAGGATAATTTGCCATGGTTTGAACATAGAAATGGAACAGCTGGTGGCAAGATACTTAGGTGGAGATGTAAGGCATCCCATTACAATGGTTGCTCTAAGGAAAGTTCCTCTACTCTCTATTGGCCTATGCATATTAACCTGACAAATGAAGGATGAGAGAATTGTTTCCATTAGCCCTTGATCATGCTCTCATTAAAATTTTGACTGATAATTTTTTCTTGGATCATCTCATACCAACTCAGCACACCTTGGTACAATGCAGTGGTTTTTAGTGTGTAGTTACCAAATCACACATTCAAAATGCAAATTCATGGTGTCCTAAAGAAGACCTCTTGACCCAAATTTGGGCAGGGATGGTGGGGCCCAGTGATCTGTCCAAGAAGCCCTCAGGTGATTGTTTTGTTGTTGTTGTTGTTGTTGTTTTTAATTGAGAAAAATATTACTACTTGGTGAACAGGCCCAATTTTCAGTTTAGAATAAAGCTTAGTTAATTAAATTGTGACTTT